GGTCCGTTGAATGTCACTCGGCCTTGCCGACCTGGACGACAAGGCCGCTGGTCAGTGTGGACAAAACTCCACTCCCAGTCGCCAAATCACCTTAAGCTGCATGCGCTTGCCAAGTTGTGGCTAGAAATGTTTTGGAATGCTTCATGTGAAGTGGGTGTCGAGAGCACCAGTAAGGCCTGAGCAAGAGTCCCAGTTTGGCAAGGTCGCATGAGGTGATAATGGAATGCGATGTGTTGACCTCCCTTTTCCACATGAGTTCATATAAGTTGACACTTGGTGTGATTGTGGGCAAATTCGACTACCTTGCCTCCATCACCGGATGCGAACCGGGCTGACTGGAATCCTTGTGTTGCCAGTTTCTCGCGACGACCGGGGATCGGTCCAACCTCGGCTGATTCGGAAGATATCCTCGACAGCTGTCCTGTTCGCAATCATCCAAAATGCTGCCCTGCCTATCGGGCCGAGGTTGTGAGGCTGTTGACAAGTGGTTGCCAAGTCGCTCCAACTGTCTGAGCACCATCTGAAACTCTTTACTGCAGGGCACAATCAGATTCTCCGAGAGTGGACGGAAGTCGCGCCTGCCAACCAACTCTTGCCGACCGAGGTCGGTCGTGTCCGTCTTGTTCGCGTCATGTGAGCCGACTGGTCTTGCCGGATAAATGCTCGACGCATTAGCCTCGTCGGCCTGCCCACTCGCCAAGACGAGCTTGTTGCCGTCGCCATCGCCGTCGCCGTCGATGTTGCCGTCTACGTCTACGTCGACGTTGGTGTCTGCGACGACCACCCTCTCAGTCTCCTCCAGGAAGCGGGCCCCCGTCAGGCTCTCCTCAATGCAGGGCTTCAGGGTGGGCAGGAACAGTACCGAATGTCGTTTCGCCCGCACCTGCTCGCCCAGACTCCGCATGTAGCGCTTTCGATCAGGTCTTTCGGCTGTTGCTACCACGGCAACCGCGGCTACCGAGGCTAGTGCCGACGTCTGCTTCCCTCGCGTCGCCAGCTCCA